AACGCATCAGGTGCAGCCGAGCGGCAGCATTGGAAGCCAAGCTGAGGTTCCAACCTCGACGGTTTCGGTGTCACATTGCCCTTTGTTTTTTTGGAACAGCAGCTCATCGGTTTCAAATTTGTGTGCTGAACAGGAATGCCAAGAAGTATTTCGAGAAGATCGACACCAATAAGCGTCCGGGTGAGAACCTCCCTGGCACAGGATCTAAAAAACCCAAGCCTACCGCTGCCAAGAGCAGAGCTTCGAAGAAGAAGTAGGTTGTTTGTATCAGCTCGACAAAAATGTCGCTTTTGTGCGTTTGTTTGGACTCTTAGAACTGCGGGAAACCCTGCAGCTTGAGTGCTACAAGCATTCTCTTTCATGGCTATGGATTCTCCATTTGCGCCAGGTGTTCTGAGTGAGATATATATTTCCGATCTTAGGCCCACACTGTAAGCATTTCATTTGGTCCAATTCTTTTGACCTGGCAGAGCAAAGAGCGGAGAGATGTGGAGAGAGCGTGGTTTTCACCATGCCCAATTTGGGGTCGAAGCAATCGTTGGTTGCAGGGAAAAATCATCTATGACGTGTGCGACACAACTTCTATAGATTGTTTTCATACTAGGAAGTGGCATGCCCGTCACAATCCGTGCCAGGAAAGCCTGCTGGAAGAACACTCCGAGGATTTGCCGCGGACATCGGTCAAGGAGTTCCGCAGCTAAATTTCCGAAAGCAAATGCCCCACAGTCTGTTTGTTCCACAAATTGGGGGAGAATATGGGATAATGTTTTTCAGTAAGGGGTTGAAAGTGCATGTTCTGATTTCTGAGAAATCTTGAATTTCCCAAAAGTTTTGATAGCCACAGTCGACAGTTATATTTGAGCCAACTTGCATCGGGACCCTTCCACCATATTTGAAATTTAAACCCCAATATAGATTGCACAGTGACAGCCGCTTATCAAATTTAATTTTCGGGGTATGTTGTTTTAAGTATGGGGTAAACACTCAGTATCACTAAGTAATTTTAGGGGGGTTGGTCGCTTAAGGTGTGGTAGCCTGAACCTTTCACTTCTCCGATGGTAGCCCTACACATCCGAGGCTGCTAGCAGGCAGGCCGTTCGAACGGCTCGCAACATTGTTGCTGATGTTGGCAAAGCTGCAGCAAATGCTTCTGGTGGGCTTGTGAGCTTCTCGGAGTGCAGTGAGGGCAATGCAGAGCGGGATGCCCATAGGTTCTTTAGCCGATACAATTTGAGACTTCCTTTGAATTTGGTGCCCATTCGCCCTGACAAGCCTCAAGGGATAAAAGGACTGAAGCTACAAGACTGGTGTCACTTTTTACTTCATCGGAACTGCTGGCACATGCTATGCGGTCTACTTCGGCCTGATCCAAGCCGTGAAAAGGCGATTTGGTCCGATTTTTGGGCTAAATTTGAAAAAGCACAGCCGGAGCATGAAGTTTTTTCGCTGGCTAGGGCAGGAACAATACAACTGTCGAATGCAGCTGCAGTAGTATACCATGGCGATGAAGGACGTGGCAGAAAAAAGCAACCATTCCTTGTCACCAGTTTCAAGTCCTGCCTTGGCAGGGGATTGGCACCTGGTTTGAGAGCTTCGAAGGCAAAAGGTGTTTCCCAGCACTACATCAAACAAAAATGCAATTATGTTGGGTCGGTTTACACCACGCACATGCTTTCCTGCGTTTTGCCAAAGCACCTTTACCGAAAGGATGATGAATCTGTGCAAGACATTTTCAACTTCGGAGCAAATTGTGCTGACGACGTTGGCCGGCATGGAGTGGTTGACACCAGATCTGGAGAACGTTTCTGGATGATTTGCATAGCAGTCACTGGAGACTGGCAGTTCCTGGTCAAATGTGGCCGATTGGCCCGCAGTTACTACAACTGTGAGAAAGGCAAGGGGCAGACTGGAAGGCAAGAGCAACCGAAAGGTATATGCCACCTGTGTCGGGCAGGACAACGTGATTACCCTTTCGAACAGTTGGGAACGCGGAACCCTTTCTGGCTTCCAACCATGCATACTGAATCTGGGTTCAAGTCGGTGCCAGCTTTCACACGCCTGATGTGCTTGAGACAGAAGCCAGAAGCAATGTTTCAGTTCGACATTTGGCATGGTTTCACGCTCGGTGTTGGCAAAACTTTTGTTGCCAGCACGCTGGCATTGGTGTCAGACCTGTTTCCTGGACGGTCCAAAGATGCTCGTTTTGAAAGCCTATCATCCAACTATTTGGACTGGTGCAAGGCCAATGGGCAAACTGCATACTTGAGCTACATTTGCAAGGAAACTATCTTGTGGCCAAGCACAAATGAGATGCCTTCAGCTATATGGTCCAAAGGTGCTGCAACCACAGTGCTTCTGAGATGGCTCAATGCTTGGAATCAAGATGCGGATTTGTCGGAGAACGTGCTTTACCAATTGCAAAAGGAAGCTTGCGGTTGCATCAATTCGTTCTTTGCACAGCTGTACGAACTGGATGCTTGGATTCCTAGTGCCACTGCCATTGAGCTCGGAGAGCTTGGGCTTCACTTTTTGGCCACTTACGACAAGCTCGCAAAGGAAGCATACCGACAAGGGAAGGTGCTGTACATGTTCGTACCGAAACACCATCAGTTACACCATGCCTTTTTGGTTGATCTTTTTTTGGCAGGCCATCGGCAGCCGTATGTGATCAACCCGTTGATCTACGCAACCCAGTTGTCGGAGGATTTCATAGGCGAGGCTAGCAGAACTGCCCGAAGGGTACATGCTAGCACGGTGGTTGAAAGAGTCATCCTCCGATATTTAACAAAGGCCCATCAAGAATGGTGCAATGCGGGGTACATTATCAGCTGATGGGGTCGAATCAGCGGAAAAACGACAGTTTGTTGCAATGTGCTATTGCAGGCACGCATGATGCAGTTGTTCACCTGAGGCGACCAAACCCCAAATAATTGCTAAACCCGAAAACCTGGTTTTTGGGGAAATTTATGGGTTTTTTCCTAAACCCTTGTTTTAAGGTTTTGGTTGCTTAAGGTATATATTATATTAATTATATATATATATATGTATTATTATATATCATTCTAGAGGCAACATTCCCATATTCAGAAAATCTTCGCATACCATGTTTTCATCGTAGTCCAGACCTGGGTTTTGGTATGTTACTTTGATAGGCATTTCAGCTCAATCTGGAGGGAACAGTTGGGCCACGGCGAATCCACTGAATGCCCCTCCACAGCTTTCTATCCCCTATGTCGTTCCAAAGCAGCTGTGGACGTTGAATGAATTGAAGGCTGCTTCGATAAGGAAGTTTCTTCATTTGTCTACCGAAGAAGGACAGGGTTGTCAAGGGTAACGTTTTTAAAGGTTGGCTGAGTAGAAATTAGAAAGTTTCTTCCCCGGGGCCTCACCCAAGGTGAACTCGGAAAAATAGAACCCACTGGTGTGCCCCTGGAAGTTTGGGCTGGCTTTGGGATTGGAATTTTGGTTCTGGCCCCGAAATTTCCCTATGTGGTCTCTATACCAGCCACGCATACTCGGAATTCTTCGCATTCCACAAATTCTTCGCACTCCAGCGAGGGCATCGCACTCCACAGCTAGGGACGTGCACATACTATAAAATCCACGCACTCTGCAAGATCTTCGCACTCCATAAAATCTTCGTACTCGGTGATTTTTCGTTTTTTGCGTTTTTTTTTTTTCGTTTTTTTTGTTGCTAAAATCGCCTGGAATCACGTTTTCTGCAATATGGGCAAGGTAGCGGTTTCGCGTGAGACGTCTGTAGTTTCACATACTATCGCATTCCAGGCCATTTTGGCCAACAATGACCCAAAAAAAAAAAAAAAAAAACCTCAGCAGGGTGAAATGTGATATTTTTCTGGTATATGATGGAAAAAACTGGTGTTGGATCCATGGGGAAGGTCGAAGGGGGCCACGCATACTGTTTTATTTTCGCATTCCAGAAAATTAGCGCACTCCAGGGGTGGCATCGTACTCTATCGGTGGAATTAGTTTGCACGGAAGAAAACAGGATCGTCGATGATTTGTGTTCCGAGATCCTATTGTGCAGGGCTCTTTGCGGGGCCACAAAGATGTCAAGAAAGATGGGGATGGCGCTGCTGGTGAAAGGCCAGCCAAGCGTGCCAGAACATAAGCTTAAAGCTTATGAATTGGGTTTTGAGATCCTGAAAAGTGTAGATGACAAATTCCCATAAGAACATTATTAATCCATTTTTGGAAAGCTCAACATTACTAATTATGACATTTCCAGAAATTGTTGAAAGTAAGGATCTTCTTTGCGGAAGAACATGTGCAGTCGACAACGTACGTGCCAGAAGAAAAGGAGTACTTGGCAAACTGTATGAAATACAAATTTCACCTGAAAGGGGTCTTCGCAATTCCCTGAAATTTCCCAGCTATTTTGGCATGGAATATGTTCGGCCCTGGAATATGGGCAAGAAATTGCTAGAATTATATACGTAGTTATAATTATAGTAGGAAGCTATTTATTGCCAATGATCTGTTGGGAAACAACTATAGTACTATAGTTACCACATCATTAGCACATTGTCCTTCTGTGTTCACGCCATCCTGGCAGCACGGATCCAGGGACGGGAGATGTTGATTTTGATGTGCCACTTGCTGGATTCAGTGTTTTCATTCCAATTTTTTATAGTGATATTAATGTTAGTGATAACGAGTTTTTTTGGGATGTTGGTTATGGGCTATGAATTTGATCTAATTTGTAATTATAGTGTGCCCACTTGCTCTCAAAGTCTTGTTGAAGGGTACTCAATTGGAGCCTCGACCAATCAACTTGCAGGTCAGTATAATCAATAGTTTATTCACCACATTCAGACTCAGGTTCAACGCAAGAATCCCGGAAATTAGACGAAGGGAACATCTACAGGAAAGCAATTCATGGGAAAGTCAGAACATGTCCTGCAATTTTCCTTCCAACCAACCCAACGAAAGAACTGCAAAAAGCATCACTGGGCCCAAAAATTTGCTCAACTCATGAGGTGTCAGCAGCCGAGTCAGATGCTCAAAGGTTTTCCTTGTTTCATGGTGGTGTTTTCATTTGAAACACCAACAAGAAATTGAAGAGTCACGGTGTTCAGCTTTAGCTTCGCAGCTCCAAAACGTGATTTTCCCGAAATTTTGAGAGGTGAAATTTGCCCAACTTTGAACTTGGAAACTGCTGATCTTCTAGCAGTGTTTTCCTGGTGAAAAAAATGGTGAACCTGAGAGGAAGCCACTGGTGCCATGAACCCATATCAATGGATCAAAACATCGCTTCAAAGATGGTCTCATTGGTGACCCATCCCCATATCATGTGAACAATTCCGGAAGCGGTTTTTTGTCACCTCCCGTTGATGACATGGTGTTGTGGAATCCTTTGTAGTCTGAGGTCCAGAAATTGGAGCGCTCCAGGGGTCAAATTTCGAAGGAAACTCGGCTGTTGCGATTGGCTGTTTCAAGCCCTGTGAAGACGGTTGCGATGTTGCATTGTTCAACATTCAACGCTGATTCTTACTGAATTATCAAATGATTACCGTATAATACAGTGTTTACGACTTTCCGGCATCACTGCACCCTCGAACAAGAAGGTGCTAAGGCATCGCAAAGCATCACTTAGTAACCAAGTTTGGGGGGTGCTTTAACACGAAGCTCGGTGCAGTGCTTGTTCTCATCCCCTTAGAAAGGCCCATCATGTTGGCACCCCAACTGCCTGCGATGACCCAATTGACTCAATTGACTCGACTTCAACAGCCCTGGGACCACAGGATCTGGCTGACATGCTCAGTGAAACAAAGCAGATGCAGCAAATCGCTGGCTGTGAAAGCAAGGCTCAATGCTTGCCCGACCTCCGGGGCATCCGGGGCAAGCAGCGACACGTGATGGGATCTCTATAGGTATCTGGCTGGATCCGAGAAGAGTGGGCGTGCACAAATGATGATTTGACTAGGACAACTAGTATATGTGTATATATATATAATTGTATATATATATATATGATATGATGTGTAATTACATGGTTTATTCCATGTGTTTCTATGTTTTATGTTGGAAGAGAGTCTGTTTTGGATGTTTGGGCAGTGTCAATGGAAAGAGAACTGCCCCCATCGTCAGCTTCCCATGCACAGCCTTGACAGGCTTCAGAGGAGCCGGAGGCCGCAGTTGGAAGCTCTAAGATGGGCGGTTCCCATATGGGGGTTTCCATAGTCATGGGGGTACCCCAAAATGGATGGTTTATAGTGGAAAATCTTTTTAAGATACATGATAATTGGGGGTACCCCCATGACTTGGGAAACCTCCATATATGTTTCACTAATCTCACCACCAATGATGGTTTGGCAAGGGGGAACCACCGACTTAGAGCGACTGATTTCAGGCTTATGACATGCATTGCGTGTATTGTTTCCAAGAAACTGATTGAGTTGCAAGAGCAGATGAGGCATGAATTGCCGAGGTAGACTTAACAAGCAGAATAGTATAATGGAGAACTGGTCTTCGGCCTTGTCTTGGAACCTGTGTGGAATATCTTTTTCTAGGAGCCCATGACAACAACATCGCACTGACCTCACTGTCGATGGCGATATGTAAGCTGAACCACGCCGAAATAGATTCATGCTCAGGGTTGTGCACGACATTTACAACAACTGAGTGCATAAATTGGCCCAGAATCATCACCCCCGAGCTGCTTTTGGGATTTTTGGGACGCCCCGAGCTGTTTGGCAGGAAACAGTCCCTACCATGAGAAGGCCGGGATACAAAACTTTGCTGAGCTGAACTTGCTTTTTGTTTATCTCTTTGATGGGTCAAAATTGGGGACACAAAAAATAAGATGGTGAACTCCTGAAAAATTAACAAATCCATTTTTGGTCCCAAAAGAAGATATAAGTTTCACCCACGGTCCAAATTTTCACCGTGGCTGTTGACCCTGTGGCAACAGGGGCATTCGCAGCAAAACGGTTGGTACCTCAAGATGTTGCCAACTGGTGACTGCAATGGTGTGAGAGAAGATGGGTCCGGGAAGGATTCATATCAACTTCTCGAGGTAGATCCTTTTTACGGATACTGAGTACTTTTTACGGATCTAGAATCTATGGGTAAAGTCCACAAGAGAATATGTTTATACCAATTTCAAAGATGTTAATGAAGCCCGATCTGTTTAGCCTTCAATCAACCACGAAATGATAGATGAGCATGTCCGCCACTTTTGCGTACCAGCGGGTACTGTTGTGAAGAACTCACATGAAATCATGCACACAAAGGATTTGGAAGATGATTCCCCTTTACTTGCCTATTGGATTCTATTGGCGTCGGGTCTAAGAGCCTTTTTCATGTTGTTTCCATATAATATATATAGTATATTATAGTATATATTTCATATGGGGTTCCGTATGTTCCATATTTTATACAATATCAGTAATAACTATCATATCTGAGATATCATATCTCAGATGATATTTTGAGCAGCGCCTCTTCGCGACCTGATGGTGCCATCTGAACCAGGTTCCAGCGGGGAACCTGCCACAAGTTCCGGAAGGCCGTGATTCAATCGGGGTGACCGGAATGGAGCAATGGCTTTTATAAAAAAGGGAAAGCATCAGAGTGATTTTACGTAGTTTTACTATTTGTTTCTGATGAATATATATATATATATTATGATGATGATATGAATCATAGTAATTAATTAAATGACATTAGATACATCATAGATTTTTGGATGATAGTTGCTGATGGATGATTGTTGCTCAATTCTGATACTGTGAACAATAGTAACTTGCCCGGATGTGTACATTTACAGATATAGTTGGCATATATATATATATATGTATTATGTATACATTGATGCCGTTTGTCCGGCTGTGTATTTGAATCTGAGTCTGCATTGCTGATTACATGTTTCGGTGCTATTATACAAGTGTGTTTATATACAAGTGTGTTTGTATACAAATGTGTATATAATACAGCAAAGTATTTGTATGAATGGTTACCCTCTGGTAAACTAACATAGCAATTGAAAATGGCCCAGTCGAAATAGTGGATGTTCCCATTAAAAATGGTGGATCTTTCCATAGCAAACTGTTAGTTCACCAGAGGGTAATCATGGTTTATCTACATTGGCTTCTCCCTGTTTGGACTTTTCGAATCTGCTCCCAAGTGAGAAACGATCGGCACGGCTCCTTCGTATATTCTGGTTAGTTGCTATCAAGTTTATAGTGGCCTTACAGAAGAAATTCGGATTCAGCAACTAATGTGGATTCACCAACGTAACTAATGATTCAGCAACTTATTTGGTCGGATTCAGAAAGTTTCCGAATACAACCGCGACCCCTTACAACATGTTCCCCTTATTTGCAATGATACATGATCCAAGAATTCTACGAACATTGACAATGCGATGATCGTCTTGGATTCATTACATATGTATCCATATGAATCCCAAAAATATAGAAATACATACAGTAAAATTCTACTGAGGGGTTTAGTGTTTCTCATCATCCCCAATACTTGTAATTACCCCAATGCGATGATCCCCCAGTCCATCCACTGCTTCAATGTTTCCTGCATAAATGGCGGGGGTACTAGGATTACCCATCACTATCCCGAACATGATTGATTGATCTTACCCCCTTATTAAACATGCTATATTACACATGTTTTCCATACTAAACATATTAAACCATTATCAGACATTCTTCTTTTTTTGTGGTTAACCTATTTATCCTGTCATTCTATCCCCATTACCATCCCATGATTTTATCTCCAGGACATATCCGTTTTTCTGTAAGGCAGATGTTTTCTGCAGTCAATCCATCTATTATTACCAATTACCAACCATTATTTGAAAACGTTGCACTCCCATGATATCATATGGATTCATATATGGTATCCACTAGCTAAAATATCTCCATGTTATCAAATATGTTGTTGGTGAAGGTACCCTCGGGTAATCAAACATGGCAATGGAAAAACCACCAACTTTCGATGATTTTTCCATTAAAACCTCTATTCAGTGCGAGGATTGCCCAGCCCCCAAATCCAGCCACCTTTGATGACACCGCAGGGTTTTTATCCATCAATATACTATGATTATCCCATTCTGATCCCATTCTTCTCCAGATTCAGCCAGAAAAAAACATCATATAAAACCATATTATATAAACCATATAAAACCATATAAAACCATATAAAACCATATAAAACGATATAAAACGATATAAAACCATATAAAACGATATAAAACCATATTATGTAAACCATATAAAACCATAAAACCATAAAACCATAGTATGTAAACCATATTAAGCCATATAAAACCATATTAAACAATCTTAATCCGTCCCTACCCAGCCTTCCCCCCACCCTGCGGCCGTTTCCAGGTGGCCCACTGCGATCCTTCACGTCTGAGCGGCTGTGTCCCCCACCTGGCCTCGCATTGCCGGTGCCGGTGGCACTGGCTACGTTGCCTGCGTCGTACGTTGCTGCCGTTTACCGGGGGAGATCAGAAGGGAGTATATATATATATATATGTGTAAAAATATTTACATATGTACATATATATGTATATATATATATATATATGATGGCCCTACAATCTCTAAAAATCGGAGATAACTGTGAGAATATGTTTTGGAGAATATCATAGCTTAACAGGATTGTTCATATGGATTAACATACTGATGGCTTAACACATCTTAACACTAAAAACTGGGATATCACATTTAAAATAGGAATATGATGGCTTGACTTACCAAAACATGGAACAACAAATGGCTTAACATACCTTTCTGTTAGCCTGCAAGGCCAAGCATGGTATGGGGACACCTGTAGAATCAACTCTTGGACAGCCATTTTGTAACATGGGTTGTTACGTGTATGTATATATATATATATACATATACGCAGTGTATGTATATATATATACATCACGCAGTGTATATAATAAATATATATATATATATTCCTTGCTGCATGCACAGTCATGATTCTACCGACCGATGTTGCGATTCCACAGGGTCTCCAGCCAGGAAAGTCTCTCCGTGAAGACAAAGGCGGCCATGGCAGTGTGGGGATGTGGGTGTCCTTTAAATGGGGGTACCCAATAGCTGGATGGTTGATGGAAAATCCGAACATGAAATGGAAGATAACTAGGGGTACCCCCCCATGACTTAGGAAACCTCCAAATATGTAGTAGATGGAAAACTAACTAGGAAACCTCCAAATATGTAGTACCCTCTGGTAAACTAACATAACTATGGAAAATCACCATTTTCAATGGGAAAATCCACTATTTCGACTGGGTCATTTTCAATAGCAACAAATTACCAGAGGGTAAGTAACACTAACAAACCATTATTCACCATTGTTAACCATTAAATCACCATTTTCCTATGGTAACAAATTACCAGAGGGTAAATCCCATTGTCATCCCATTATTCACCATTGTTAACCATTAAATCACCATTTTCCTATGGTAAACCATAGGGTAAACCCATCCACAAACTTTTTTTTGACCAATAAAAAGTCGACTGCAGGACATCGACGGAGTTGCTGCTTGCAGGATTGAGTGGCGGATTGATGGCCATTGCCTCATCCGGCGAGATGCGCGAGGTGTCATGAAGACCTACAAGGGATGTTTATACATATATATATATATACCCATAGGATCCATGTATGCTATATATGGTAACATTCACCATCAATATACCCCCAATGTTAGCATATATACCATACATGGATCCTATGGGATATAAAAACTAGAACTCTCATATTATATACATATGTATATATATATATATCTCCCTACAAGGTGGTGCATCATAGTTTGCGAAGGTTGAACTAGGTTCATGCTTATGGTAGAGCAATCTAGAGTTATTGGGGTGTATAAATCAACTTACAACTGGGGTTTGTGTAGACTTCATACTCCCATCCTGTTTGGGAGTTGATGCCAATTTCTTCAAACTGAGGATCTAGGTAAATACGTTAACTTGTTTGGTATTTTAATCTCGGAGGTCCAGCTTTGATGTACGCTTCAACTTGAAAACTCAGGTCAGATAGACTCAGATAGACTTTGAACAAAAGAAACACTGTCCTGGTATTTGACCAACTGGTGAATTTGCTGCAGACTTCGGCAGAACTGCCGGAAGGTTTCCCCTTCCGCAGGGCTCACGACCTTGGGATCACCTGGTTCGGCGCCGCAGCTCAGGCATCAAGACCAAGTTCAAGGATTGCCTGGTAAGGCCACTGGTGTCCCCCCAGTTTGAGGCCGGATCCCTGAATCCGTGGGCCATGGGATGGGATGGCCATGGGTCACCTGTGGATATCCCATGTTTGATGTTTTTTTTACAGAAGAAAACATGTTTGAATGGGGATTAATATGTCCTAGACTGCTTGAGGTAGATGTTGATGATGGCAAGTGACTTAGTGAGGATCACCCTTGCTAGATTCGTACATCATTCAACTATGCCACCATGGCCGGTAGGAGACTTTGAGCATGTTACCATGTTACCATCATTGGGCAAAGTCGTAATTCTGGGTATGTTCAAGTTTTTCAGGACTCCGCGGAAAATGCACCAAGACATCCAGAATGGTTTGGGTGTGACTCAAAAGGACAAACATGCTGTTTTTGAGACATTGGAACACGATCAATGTTTTACCAGCTGGTTGACCCCCGTGTCGGAGGCAAGTCTGAGAACACCCGTTTTTCATGGAATTTGATGAAAGGGATAGCCCCGTGAAAACACAATTGTCACCATAGTATCCTGCAAATGCTTTCTCGAACCAATTACGGAATATTACGGACCATGAAACCAGTTACGGAATATTACGGACCATGATTCATCATGTTTGAATAGTCCCCAAAGGGAAACAAACACATAAATTAAATATAATTAAATAATATATATATACATACATACACATTTTGTAATACACCCCATTCAGTCCCATCCTCTTGCTCAATTTAATTATATACATATATATATATATATAATATTATACATATATACATAATATATATATATATACACATAATATATATATATTTCCATATATATATAATATGTGGTTAAAAGCTATGCAGGGTTTCCTGAGGCCGCTGGTCTTCCAGAATTGCGACTACTGGACCCGCCCTGAGTTGTGTGGATCTTTCATTCTCGATATTTGTTTTGACTGTAGCATTTGATTCGATGGATTGGGTTAAGGGAAAATCTACGAAACCATGATTTTTACCATCAAATACAGGGGTTTCCTTTAAATTTTCCCATCATCCAATTCTTATTATTGATATGAGAAAATGGTTTCTGCTGGAAAATCATCCACAAATTTGATCCTGGTGCATTCTCCATGGTCCATAGATTTTTATTGACTGTAGCATAAAAGATGCTTAAAGTAAGATTTAAAATGATATATCTTATATCATAAATGTATAATATATTATACTATATTATATTAGCATAATTGTTTTTTACATGTATAATATACATGTGGTTAGCTGACGTTGAGAGAACATCAACATGAATTCGATTGTTGTTTTTTGAGGAGTTTGATCCTCCCACAGGTAGATAGGTGACTTCCTGTATCAGTCCCAGCCATGAATCAAACTTGGCTGGCCGGATTTTCCAGCTCGCGGTGTTTCATTTCCGGAGGATAATCTTGGCTATACTGACTATACCCAACTGAACGATGCAATTAGCCATGTGATTATGGATTGATTATTATGGATTGATTATGGTTCCAAATTTGTGGGCCAAAGCAAATCAGAAAAAGAGGGTTCAGTATCAATCATGACCCCAGCCACGTGTGGATTGTTCCTGGAACCCATTTGGGTCGCCATATCATGCCATATCCCATCCGCACCGCGTTGTTGCTGTAGCCCTAGGTTCATTGGTTTATGGATGATTACGGGAAAATGTGCAGGCGACAATGGCCCCGAAATCGAAGCAACAAGGCGACCATGTTTCTGGTCATTTCTTGTTACCCTCCGGTAAACATACAAAAAGCTATTGAAATTGCCATAGAAATAGTGAGTTTTCCCATTAAAAATGGTGATTTTCCATAGTTCTGTAAACGTTTACCAGAGGGTACCCAACTCAACGAATCCATTTGAAAGTTTCCAGTCGTGTTCATTTCCCTGTGGATTTCCTGACCGATTCTGGCTGGATCAATTCCGGATTTTGCTGGTCATATTCAAAGAGGTTGTGGTGAACCTTGAAAATGTCTAATACTTTTTGCTGGTCGTAACTGAAATGGATAATGGGTACTATTGACAAAACCTTCGAAACGCTTTTATGGATTTGTTGACTGTTGACCTTTCTCCCTGTAGACCTTCCCGCAATTAGTGATGCGGATCTCATATCAGATCTCCAAAACCGCCCAGGTCTTTCCCAACCTGGGCGATTTAGATGGCCTCACCATGCGAGAACAGAAGTCGAGATACGAGGCGACGCCATGGATCTCCATGGATTTTTGATGGCGGATGAAATTGGGTCGTTTCGGCGTTGTTGGATCCACCAAGCTGGTCCTTCAGGCCATCACATTTTGATCATGTTGGTTTCTTGCCAAATGGAAATGTGTCAAGACAACAAAAATCAGACCTATGATTAGAGAATACGTCGTTCGTTTGTGTTTCAAGTGGCTTTTTCACTTCCGAGCAGAGCAGCGAGCGTAAAAAGTGGCCGGAAATCGCAGGTCCGCTTTGCCGAGGGGCCTTTGAGTGGATCTGTCAAGTTCAAGGCGCTGCAAGAGATTCGTTTAATGGTGGTTAACAGTGATTAATAGTGGTTAAATAATGATTCACTGGTTGGTGGTTTGGAACATGAACTTTATTTTCCATCATATATGGGATGTCATCCTTCCCATTGACGAACTCATATTTTTCAAGATGGTTGAAACCACCAACCAGGCAATGTTCTTCAATCATCACATGCTTATAGAAGGTCATGTCATAGTGTTGAGACCTTGATGTTGGATGTTGACATTTGTACCATGCAGAATAACTGAGCATTAGAGAGAGCCACAAGCCGTCCGCAAAACTTGGCCAAAACCCCCAAAGTTAGTGGTTGATCATTCTTGTTCCCAAAAAAGACGGCCATAGTCATAGTCATAGTTCTACTGGTCACCATTTGAAGACACAGAACCATACCCATAGGATCCATGTATGCCATATATGCTAACATTTGGGGTATATTGATGGTAAATGTTACCATATATGGCATACATGGATCCTATGGGATATGGTGCCCTTTTTCTCCAGTTCCACGTGTTCCGTTCGTTTGCGCGTGGCAGGTCGTCACTGAGACTGGTGGTCGTATCTTGGAGAAGTTGAAGTGGTTGAACTGCGAAATCCCATTCCCCTAATATTAGATACCCCCAATATAGGGTCTCCAAAATGAGATCCAATTGATCCATCAATATACGAAAAAAACCCAAAAATCTGAATGTTTCTGGGGGGGTGATTGATTTTGAATGGACTCATATCACTTGAATCATATCACTTCAAGGGATTCGGTGGTGTTTTCATCCACTTGACGACATCCTGGCATTTTCGTACAGAAGCCAAATTTCAAATGATTTGGATCTCAATTGATCTCAATATATAAAATATATTAATTAAACAAAATTATTAGAAACCTTGGAGGTGTGGAAAAGCAGCCCCACCATGAGGTTTGGACATCAAGTTCAACTTGTTCATTGGCGACGTCGTTCAGGTACTTGGGAAATCCCCGCACTGAATGGAGGTTTTTTCATCGGAAAAACCTGAGATTCGTTGCAGGTCTGCTGATGTGATGCAGTGCACTCACATCATAGGGATTCCTAAAAGTGATGATGATAATCCATAATATGTATATATATATATATGTTATTAATACATATTAATACTATATATATATACATATACACATATTATATATATATATATATACATCAATAATCTTCAATGATATCAACACATTGGATAGTACGACCCCGTGCCATCATCCTCCAACAGGGATTCTGAGCCACCACAGCCCAACAGGGGCCGCTGGCGCACAACTTTGCTGACCACGTCATGGCTGGCTTTGATTTCAGTCGCTTGGCAAAAATGCTGGGTATGTTCTGGTAAACAACATAGCTATATACATATATAATACATGTATTATATACAATACATATATCTATATATATACACATAAATATTTGTACTAACATTAAACAAAAAAACTATATATATATAGCTATTAAACATTGCCATTTATATATAGTTGAATTTGCTGTATTTAATTGTGTTTACCTATTGAACATGGGGATTTTCCATATGTTTGTCTACCAGAGGGTATCGATCCTGTGATGGGGGTACCTTTTAGAGCCACAATTGATTGGGTCACGTTTAGTAAGAAGCTTATTGTCTATTTTGGGGTCGTGATGATTCACTCCAGGAAGTACCCAGTTTTCTGTCCTTGGCTCCACATGCTGAACATGTGCTTTGATGACTTGGGCAACGCATGAGTCTTGGACACAATGAAGAAAGAGTCACTTGAGTATCACATTGGAGAATTGGAGGCTTGGTACTTGGAAGTTTCCATTGCTGGTTGGTGGTTTGGAACATTTTTTTATTTTCCATCATATATGGGATAATCCTTCCCATTGACTAATATTTTTCAAGATGGATAAAACCACCAACCAGATTGACTTGTCGCAAAAAAAATGCGCCCAAGGCAACAATTGGTTGGAATCTTCCGCCGTTGGATCTCTGACAATAGGCTGGGGGTCGTTTTTTCTTGCCTGCGTTCTGGCTTCACAATAGTTTATATAATTAAATGTGTTTTCTAGTGTGTTGCTTATTCCTGGTTAATTATTTTAATTTGGAAGTGTTTCTTTTGCTGGGTAGAGGTTTGCACTTTTGCTGGGAACCTCTGGGCATCACCATTCAGCGTTGGAGACATTTGGAGACCATATCCCCAAAGTTGGATGATGTGTGAACGGGATGTTTTTCTTCTCCATCCAATTTCAAAGTTTATGTTGACTATCCCCCAACCTTTTTTTTGTCTTTGACTTTGCAAGGAGTACGGATTCATACTGCCCAATGCGGTCAAATGTTCCCTTCATTTTTTGTCAGGCGCAGATGCAAAAATGTCTCAGCTTTCATTGCCTTGCTTTGGCATGATTTTTTGCTAATAGGGGGTCTCCGACACATTGAGATAGAAAAAGTACCCCTAAACCACCCATCAGCCAATACCATGATGACACCCGAGGCCCCAGCAGTTACAACTGGAGTTACAACAGGTACCCTCTGGTTATTTAACATAGCCATGGAAAATCACCATTTTTAATAGGTAAACGTAAACCATCTATAAATGGGCCATTTTCCATGGCTATGTTAAATAACCAAAGGGTAATAGTCTATATCCATACACTAAGATGTGTTGCTTTTTGGTGATTTTTGATTTTGATGGATTTACTCATGTCATATATCCATATATATCCCGCTGAAGTCAGCTAACCGAATGGTAGTTGTGATAGATAACCTTACTTCACAACCCAAACCAAAAACCCAATTCAACTTATTGATCTCGTAGATACCTGTATAAATGGCAACCCAATTTGGGTTTGTTGAAAGTGGGGTACCCTTAAATTTTCCCTGCGTATCCCGACTATCACATTTTTGTTCATCTCTCCATCAATATTATGTTGATATCCCATTAATGTTACCTCGTTCTCGCTGGTTATATCACCATGTTCCCAGGGTAAAGCGTATTGGACCCCCCTATTTCACCCATCTACTATTCCCCATTTATCCCATTCTATATATGATTATACTATACCGATTCTCTTCCCAATTATGGTTGCTGTTGCTGGTTATATCATCATGATACCATGTTAAGCCAAATTGTTATGATTCTCCCGCTAAATCGAATTAAAGCCCGTAGGGGATATATAATGGTGATAGATTTACAATTTGCAATCAAGTTCTATATAGTTTCTTTTCATTAATTATATCTATCACCATTTATTTCTTAGTTTTCAAACCCATTTGGCTATGGATCAATACCTATTAATACCATTTTTAGTGGGATGAACATCCATTTACTAGCTATTTTGATGTGAACTACAGGGGTACTATTGGTTTTGACACACTGCCATTTCAATCCCCGTTGTATTCCCCGTATTTGTTGGTTAATCTTCCATTTATGCGGCCCACCAGGTGTGGAGGTCATTGAGGTGAACGGCGTAGGACCTCATGTGGCTGTGGCAACATATGGTGAAGTGCACCCTAAGCTACGGTAAAATGCGGTAAAATGTAGGTTATGTCTACCCTCTGGTAAACTAACATAACTATGGAAAATCACCATGTTTAATGGGAAATGTCACTATAAATCACCATTTTCAATAGCTATGTAACAGGCTATGTAACAAATTACCAGAGGGTAACCCTGGGCCAATTCGCTGCTAAAAGAGATCAACATAGGACGAACAAGAATGATCAATGAGACAATTATTAATGATGATAGTTGAAGAAGACTGATCAGGAGTGCGAATCCCGACTCCCGAATATTTCGTCCACCCCCAGAGACCCCGAGGGGGGGAACATGTGAAAACTGTACCCTTTGGTTTTTGGTGATCTAAATATGGAAAATATTGGAAAATTGATGAACATGGCCCTGTCTAATAGGTCAATCATGAAATCATTGAGTACCATAATTGGTCATTTTCCATGGCTATGTCAACATGACATGTCAAATTACCAGGAGCCGAAGAGGCTGCCGAAGCTGCTCGCAGCAGGGCTTCCGGTTCTTAAAAGCGCGGGCGCGCGAAATTGTGAGCTCAGTGGGACAATCGTAAATATCGCTTTATGTTGGACATGAGCTATGTAAAGGGGAGAAGGACAGATGATGGATTGATGCTATTTTTTCCGGTTTCCACATTCATGGTATGAGTTATTGCCATGAATCGTGCATTTTGTCATGGACTGGCTGCTGTGGCAGTGGATGCAAGTCACCTTTCTTCTTGGAGTTTGCATAAGTTTGCTTGTGAGATACAAACAAAACATTGCCTTTGTGCAGCAGTTTCAAAGTTGTCAACTTGTACATCCACGCATGGCCAGCATGGTACTGATGCCTTCGGCTTCGAATTTGTAGATTGTGAGGTTCATTTGAGCACGGCAGTGGCAAATCCAGGATTACTTTCAGCCCAACTGGACACAGAAAAGGAGTCAATGGGTCCAATGTGCTTTCTCAGAGTATCTTCCTACCTGTTTTTATCTTGTTTTTGCAGGAGGCATCAGTATGCACTCTATAGACGTTCCCGAAATATGTTCATTGGAAATCATCAAAGGCTACCACAGATATAGCATCAGTGGCTCAGCCATAGCCATGACAAGTGCCGTTGGCAACTCAGCCGGACCCAAAACTTGGGAATATGTCCACTTATTACAGCTGTAAAAAAGCATCCTAAAGGCCACAATCAGGAGGGATTTAAGTCCATATTAGATCATATTAGTGTATAGTTTTGTTTTTTCTATATACTAGGTACTGTATATGCAACATATGTACTATAGACATATGTATGTATGTTATATATGTATATATATATTTACGCAGTCAATGTGAAGAAATTTCTCTTGACTATTTCTGAGTGTCCACTGCGATGTTTGCCAGAGGATATTGGCAGGATTTCCAACTTATGGTCATGAGCATGGCTATACTCATTTTGGATCTGAAAATGGGCCAATTGTAATATGGAAAATGCTCGCGGATCATCAAATATGTGGGGTTTTCCCCTGACTGTTTTGGACAACCCCCATATCTTTGACCCCCAACTCCCCTTTAGTTGCACCGCTGTGAGCTCACAAACTCCATCGCTGAAGGCAGCTGGGTACATGGATTCAAGAGGCGAGTGGTGCTATGAACGATACCATTCTTGCTGGGGCAGCAACAGGGGATGCTACTACCTGGTTTAATGATGTTTCATGGTGATTGATGATGGGCATATTTTTTCAATGGAGATAGTTGTGCGACTTTGACACTTTCCACTTGTGTGTGTTTAGGTGGGAAGAGACGGAAGAAGACGCCACTTTCATGCCTCACCCTAGTGTGATTTTGGTCAAGGTGAAATGTCCTTGCCACTTATGCAACAATCACATACAATCACTGCACAAGTTGGTACTAGTGGAAGTCCTTGAACTCTGCACGTAATTTGAGTATCAAAGTATGTATATATATAGATAGATAGATAGATAGACGTACTGCAGGTTGTTTTGAATAAGAATCATATTACATTGGGATTCAAACTGTCCATTCTCCAAGCCTGAACAGATTTGCCTTGTCACATAGCCTGGCCATGTTCGCCCGTCAATGGCGCCGGGCATGAGCCAACAGCTATGTCAGTGGTGCCTTGGAAACACTACGAAGGAAGCGCAGGCAGCATTGCATTTGCATTGATTCATTAATTATGTATATCATATTTAATATGATTTTATCGTATCTTAGTATGGTGTCTTATATTATGATATGATATGATATGATATATATACTATATTGTAGAATAGTAGATTTTACTACAATATATTATAGATATTCATGATATGGTATCACATGCACACAGAGACTTGACAAAATGAAGCACATCTCTTCAACAAAAAACTATTCGAGCAACAGATTGCTACCACCTCTTACAGTCTGCAGGAGCTCAAAGAGGAGCATTTTTGATACCTAGCAGCAAGAACAGCTGGGTGTGTTAGAAACGCAGGATTTAAAGCCCAAAGTTATAGAGACTCCTTGCTTGGCTGTTTGACGCAAGGTGTCTTATCTTCAGTGGACTCTACCTACAGGCTGGTTGCACTGCCATTCAAGTCGTGTGTTTCGTTTACGGATGACCATGCAAGACTGCCAAGTGTTTGTATGCTGCAAGGAATTCAATTCCAGCTCTTGAAAGGGATTCACATTTATTCTGGTTGGTGGTTTCAAACATTTTTTATTTTCCATAATATATGGGATAATCCTTCCAATTGACTATTATTTTTCAGATGGGTTGAAACCACCAACCAGTTCTTCTTTGTGTCAAGTTCCGATTTGACGACCTGCATAGATCAGCACCGCGCTTCGTTATCTTCGTTTTCGCCATTCCGAAACATCAGAATTGGAGACTGAAATGTGGATACTCAACCAAAATTGCCGTTTTTTTTTGTTTTGGAGGAGAACATAGGATTATCCCATCCCCCCATATTAAACAGCCCCCTGAAACCATGGGACTAGCCAACTACAGCCGACTACAGGTGCTCTCTTTATCTCCCAGAAGGCAACGGGCTAGTGCTGCGTTGGGGTGACAACTCGAGAGAAACGGCAAGAAAGAAGGTGTTTTGGGCTGGATCTTGCAACAATTCAGATCTTTTTTCATGATTTTTCAATGACTTTGAGGATTTGGGACCAAAGGTTTCACGATATGCCCCTGGTGTGTTTGTTTTGGCCGTGATTTTGTTCCTCCTGTTGCACGAAGAGCTAGAGAACAGTCCGGAAAGGGAGGAAAAATGCCGAGAGAGTTTGGTGCTGCAATGTCTCGAGTTTACAAGGTTGAAACTTAAACATAAACTGTGTAAGCAATGTACTGCTATGTTTAGGTCTGTCCGGACTCATCGAATCCTAGACACGAAACGAAGCACAAGACTTACCCTCTGGTTATTTAGCATAGCTATGGAAAATGGCGAAGGTTATAGATGATTTATAATGATTTACCTATAGCTATAAAATGGTGTGTTTCCATAGTTATGTTACAAAATCACGGGGAAAACTGACTACATAGGGGACTATACTATCCAATATATTGAGGATCATATATGGCAATTCCTATCAACCAAGCAGTTTTTAATGCATTTTAGCAGAGGTTATTTGAACACTGCTCACATGTTTTCTTACTTGGCCACAACCTTTGGGCGTAACTTTGAGCCAAGATGGCACAGCATTTTGTGTGTTCAGGAGCGGTGAAAACTGCAGTGACATCCCTGGCTGGGCAGATTCTGAAGGATACACCTGTGCTGAGTGACCTGTCGGCAGTTGCCACGGGTAGAACATAGCAAGAATTCACCAGCAACAATGGGGGTAGACCAAGAATCATGGAGTATATTAATGGAAGATAATGGAAGATTAATGGCATTTTATGTGAGATTAATGGCATTTTATGTGAGATTAATGGCATTTCGTGGGATATATAATCAACCATCTTCCAAGACGTTGGGTCGACTGGCGATCCTCAACATGATCTTGGACCAGGCTAGTATTTAATGTAGCAACGGATCGGGACCCCGAATTCTTGTATACGGTCTAGTCGGATTTAGCCATTCAACAAGGAGATGTAGTCCTCCAAGGTGTGGTTTTCATTAAATGTGTATTTGGGTTTCTCCGACAATATAGAGCGCGCCAAAATCCAATGTTTTATGATCACCTTCCTATTTAAAAAGGTATTTTTTGGAGGGTATGGCTCAATTCATACATCCATCCAAATATGACATTGTTGGTTATATATCCCATTGTCCCAGTTCATGAAAAATCCCATGGTGGGAATCCTGTTCTTAACCACCCAATTAAAGGGAACAATTATAGTGGATGGCTGGGTGCAATGTAATGTATGACTGGGTAACAATGGACAATTATGTGTATATACGTATATATATATATTATCATCTACGACCTATAAATCTGAACATACGATGATGTATATATATATAGATTATAGATACTGGTACTAGATGACTATCATGATAGCATTCATCTTTCATCATTTAGATTTTCCTGATGGCTTGGCAACTTGGAGTCGCTGCCAAGGTATGCCAACAAGAGTTGGTGTACCTCTGAAGGAAGGCCTGGTAGGGGATGGAACGACCCTGATAGTGCGCCTTGGTCCAAAGCTGAGGCTTTTGACAGCTGATTTTGATCACAAACAGGGATAGATCTACATATGGGGATGGGTCAAAACCTATTACTATCATATTCGGGGGAATAACCATCCATTAACCAGCCATTCTAGGGTACCTAAGGTGCCAGAGTTTTGACTCATAGTTATATGACAAACTGTAGTTATATAAGTATGGTTACAACAGAATATGTTTTGTTCTTAAATCCCACGATGAAGCAGAATGATTTTATTATATTTTATTTTAGGTATAGAATTATTGTCATAACCATGACTGTAGCTGGAGAGAACAACTGGAAAGTTATGGAAAATCTGGAGGGAAGTTGGTCGTTGTGAGTTGACACACTCAAATTGGCATCCTTTTGGGAATGTGAGCATCACTCAATAGAGATTATAGCACCAAACCTTGTGATAAAAAATGAGCATGTTTGAAATGGGGTTAGCTGTGTGATATTCAGTGGGATAGTGATTTGCTGATAAACATTTTTTTTCACATGGGAAAATGGTGATACAACCAGCAACATTAGATTTGAATCAATCCTACATGGGATACAACTAGCTAACTAGCTGCCACTACGATGATATTGATCCTGCAAGCGCAGAGTGAGTACAACTAATATGTGGGTGTGTTTGAAAATGGAGCATGCCTGGCAAGTGAAGATTACTCAGTGGGTTTGGGGGTGCCCAGGCCCATATTAAGACAAACCCCTGGTATTGTGTGTTTTCTTCATACCATCATTAGTGTCAGTGTAGTATGAGCCATGATGTCCCACTTATTGTGGGATGTACCAAGGTTTATCTGTTTAGCCATTGACAAACATCAAGAATCATCTACCCTGAAGAGCCAGAGGCTATAGGCATCCAATGTTTGACCCATGCAGACGATGGTTATGTTGTGTTAAGGTACGTTAAAGGATACAAAGCACCCTGAATGTAGAGGAACAAATCCAGACCTCAGTGCCCACGTGTTTCGCTCCCATAGATTTCATCAATAGTAGAACCTGAATGATATTCTTTAGTGAGATTTAAACCATCAATCATTGGGTTTAAACCATAAAACGTATGGGATATTATTGATACATATTGACCATTGATGGTTTGTTCTATGCTTCCATTTCAGTCCCATATTAATATGTTGGTCATATATATATATAATTATATATATACATGTTCATTATGTTCCCTATATATTTCCCATTTATACGATTTAAAAGCCAGATACATAAAACACAATCTTAGTGATATATTCCCAGGTTAGTGACGTTGTTTTTATAATATCACCCACAATACAAAACAAACATACTTAATACCTACTGTAAAATTTAAAATACCATGGATTGGCTAAACATATGGTTACCTGAACCTATACCATTGGTTTGTCTTCCCAACATATTGTGGATTGCCCAGATATATGCTGGTGTTTATTTCCATATTATATTATCATGTTGTATTTTCATCAGAAATTTAAGTTTCGTTCTAGCCACTTCGTCTTCCCTAAAAAATGTGATTTATCCCATATGGTATTATACCATTGATTAGTTTCCAACATAATCCCAATATTTGCTGTGATTCATAATGCGTCATAGTTCCCAAGAGTTACCTTAACCGGTGAATCGGATTTATTCTATTCACAGCAATGTCAAGTTAGGATCATAAGGGATTAAACAACCACCACACTGGAAACATGTTTTGGCAATATTATCATTTACCCAGATGCTAATGTCATTTACTATCATTTACCGGTGCAGGATTTATTCTATTCACATCTATACACAGTATTGTCATTGACCCAAGCATTCATGGTTTCCACTGAAGATGCTGAGTTTCCACCCTGGTTTCCGAAGATTTTCCACCCCCTAGGGCCTGGAAGACCTTTGGAACGCTGGCTATTCAGCGCAAGCTGCCTGTTGCACCTGTGGAGGTGGACAGGTGAGTCACATCAACGGTCACTTGTTGCACCACGGGTCGACCTTGAGCGGAGAAATCCGCTGGTGTTGGAATGGGGTCTATCGCCCAGGCGGTTTCTGGGGGCTTTTTGTTGAGAAGATAGTCTATAAAATTGGAATGTAACCGCGAAAATACTTGGAGTTAATCATCAAACATGGAATTCGACTGTGACAATTTGGGGAAAACATTTTTTTTGGCATGATTTGCGGGCATTTCGATAGGAAATCAACTGGTGAATGGGAGGTGAACTGAATTTTCTAGGTGTATGGAGGAATATGTCAGACCTAGGTTTGAAGTCAACTTTGGGCGTCTAAGATTGATGATGAGTATGGAAAGCTGCAAACACGTTGGATGTTTTTTTTGCTCGATCATCACATTGAACCACGAGTCTTAGCAGCATGGTCAGAAAGATTCGGCTACGAAGCTCACGTTTTTTTTGGTTAAAAAAACGTGGCTGAAAGGGATTGGGGGTACTTGTACGAAGCTGTCTCTAATTAAGCGAGATAATTCATGATAATTCCATACACGCAAGTGCACTTCATGCGGAACTGCAGGACATGACCAAATCCTTACTTACATCACTTGTTTTGCACATTTGATTCTCAGGACATCGGTAAGAGCCCTATCAAACTGACATGATGCTAGACAGCGCCGGAATTTGCAGGTTCAAATTTGCATGGGCGTGCTGAAAATTGGGTGTGTTTTAACTTCCATCATATCAGTTCCTGATTGCTGGCAAATAATACAATGTCGTAATTAGATTTTTACAATTTATTTATTACATATCGTATGCTCTCCCTTTTTTTGGATTGACGAAACCGACAACATGTGGCCTGAATTTGAATGTGGATGGCTTGCTCAACCACCAAGCAGTCCTCCCCCGTTCTCAGGAATGTGGCAAGTGCTGCGAGGTTCGTGCATCGTTGAAGGGAATTGCATCATGAGTCCAAACTATCCAGAGGCTTGGCTTCACCATGATTTGTAGATGGATCGGTATATGCCCACAAGACAATGAGAAATTCAGAAATATATAAGTATCTTCGAATGAATGCGTTGAAAGTATCCTGTAGAGTTTCAAGATGTTCACCAATCTGATAATTTGGGCACCAGTGTTGTTTGATCCCTGGACATTTATCTCGGTGTTGTCACCAACCAAAACCTACCAACAGGTGGTATCCAACACTACTTCGCACAATGAAATATACATGTATCATGTATGTATAGTGATATAAAGTGTACACCGAATATTTCGATGCGTTCAGGTTAAGAGATGTGATTGTACTCATATATTAATTGTACTCAACCCACAACGTTAGTAAAAGATAGTCTTTCTTCAACCCACCTGGCTGCTGGTGTCAGCAATGGTTGCCGTAGCCAAGGAGAACTACAGCACGGATGAGGGCTGCGTCATTCTGGTGAACAACTCGTTGGCTCAGCCTCTGAAAACTGTATCTGGTTGAGTCTGAAATGGGGGAGCCCAAAGTCATTATAGTCATTCCAATATGCGAAACTCTAACTGTTGGTGAAGCCAATGGTCTTGGGCTGCCCGATGTTGTTTTTTAGGAAACATCCAGATGACCATGAATGTTCCAGTTTTATGATGTTTTATATATATATTGTGCCCTTTCTTGTCCATCCCCGAATGGATGAAGATGACAGTTGGCGAAGCTCAGCTAGCTTCAGGTATCTTGGGATGTTGAGTATTGGTTCGACTACCTGAAAATCAACAACCGAGACTTCAGTGGTGCCTATCAGCCAGATGCCGGGCTCATTCCCAACGGCTCCAACGGCTCCATCTATTGGATCTCCGATGAAGATGTCACTGGAAAGGGCTGGAAGCTTTGTGCCAACAACAGCGTGCCGGAAGCGCTAGCGGTACGGGAATCGGACGCTTTGAAGAGCTTTTGCACATGAGTTTTAATCTATTTCAGACTATGAAGCAGGTTGGATATCAAATGTATCTTCGTTTTCCAATACGCGGTGGTTTTCCTGCTCTTTGAATTTCACCCTCCGCTTCCGCCCAGGAAGTGGTGACCACTTCGGGCAGCCCCGCTTCAGCTTCCAGCCTCCCTTCCAGCAGCAGCAGCTCCAGCAGCTCCAGTGCCACGGCTGCTGCTACCAGCACCACTATCAGCAAATTGGTTGAAACCACCACGACCACCACGACCACCACGACCACCACGACCACGACCACGACTACCACAACGGTGGAGAGCACCACAACTGAGAAGAGGAGTTCCAGCACGGAGCCAAGGTGGGGGTGAGACATGTGAAGCTCCAACAATTGGATTTGGACCATGGAAGGATCCATCTTGGCCATTTTGGGGGTTCTATCTCATTTAGGTTGGTACCCAGATGTAGTTGCACTATGTTGCACTTTGATTTGCGGGTGTTTAATCCCATTGGTGCAATGTAATCCCAAGCTTTGTTTCAGAAGAGCCCCCCGGTGGTGGTTGCCAGCGGGCGCACCAGGCGCCTGGTAATTTCGTGTGTTTTCTGTGTTAAATGGGTTCGTTGGGGGGTGGGTGGGTGGGTGGGTAGGGGGGGGATGTTAACGTTCATTGGACTTGCACACTTATGTGATGCTACGCCCTACGCTACTGCACGTTCTCTTCAATTTATACAACTACGTGATGCTACGCTACTGCACGTTCTCTTCAATTTACACAACTACATGATGCTACGCTACTGCACGTTCTCTTCAATTTACACAACTACATGATACTATGCTACTGCACGTTCGCTTCAATTTACACAACTACGTGATGCTATGCTACTGCACGTTCGCTTCAATTTGCACAACTACGTGATGCTACGTTGACTGGGGTGGGCGGGTGGGTGGGTGGGGGGGATGTTAACGTTCATTGGACTTGCACACTTACGTGATGCTACGCTACTGCACGTTCTCTGAAGAAATTTGTTTTTTCCAATCTTCACAGAAAAGTGAAGACTTTGGTGGGGTCAGAGATGAATCCATCTCTGCGACGTCGTTGTTTCCAATATGTGTGGAGATGTAATCTCCAAACTTGTACACCACTGGTCATGCTGAAAGAGCTGGCAAAGTTGGTGAAAAACAACGATGCCGACAACTGCTAAAACAGTTGAAAAGAGACGTTTTGATGCAGAAACGCTATAAAAACGCCAGGCGCCTGACGCGCCTGCGACCTGGTGGTTTCAATGACAGTCTTTCCATTCCTGGGACGAAGATCCCCCATGACTGATGTCCAGCTAGACATCGGTTGGCAGTATCTCCGTAAAAGTCAACAGGTCGGAGCCACCCAACGACCAGTGTGCGGATGTCGATGGCTGGGAAGATTCGGCAGAATTCACGTGTGCCGAGTACGTTGAAGAAGAGTACCTTGGCGGATGTGACCGCAAGATGGGGACTTTCCAGCGCTTGCTTGCTTCATACAATAGTTGCCCTATACAGCATAGCGAAGGAAAATCACTACGGTAAATATACGGACTTTTAAATATACGAACAGGTATTTTAGACTACCTCCGGGAAGGTTTTCCTTGGCCCGCCCGGCCATTTAAACATACGGAATCCAATTCATTAAAAAAAAGGTAAACTACATTTAAATTTAAATATACGAACTGGTATTTCATACTACCTCCGGGGCCTCGCGGTCTGGCCCGCCCTCCACATATTTAAATGTCGTTACCGTATGTTTAGTGGGTACATAATCTATGAATGGGTCATCCGTAGCTATGTTGAATTTCCGAAGGTAAACATGTAAACCTCAGTGTATTGGTTCACCAATTGATAGAATACTTGCTGATCTGCTAACTGATTTCACCAAAAATGGTTACCGGTTGTATGGTGATTTCACCAGTTGGATACAGTATCCTTTGATTACCCATCTCTCCATGAAAAGTGGATGGTATTTGTCGCATCTGAGGTGGTGTACTCCGAGCGGTGGAACTGGCGAACGCTGGAACCCCATGTGGCCTGGAAAGCTTCCGAGTCGATGTCTTTTGCATTTTTTTCAGGTGGGTCAATCAGTGAATCAGTTAGAAATAGTGAGAAATAGATAGAAATAGATAGAAGAAAGATAGAAATGGGAATCATAGGGGAATCTGAATCTAGATGGGGTTGTTTGAAATTAGAGTAGCTCAGCCTCATCACCATCCGTATGAGTTTTCACGTCCACAACTTGGCATTTCCCCATAAATGGCAAAGATTACCAAGAAAACATCCCAATATCCGAATATCCCCAGTTGTTATCCCCATTTTTGGTAGTATCACCTGGTCTCATCCACGTCATATCATTGTGAAATATCACCATGGTCCGTTGACACCTGGGCCCTGGTTCTCAGCCTCTCCGAGGTGGGGAGAGCCTTCGGACTATTGGCACGCGGGCTTTTCAGCCCTGGAAGCTTGCTGTGTCTCTTGGTGATGGCTCTGGGCAAGATCTGAGCCGCTAAAGTTTTTAAAGCCTGGTTGATGCTTGGGGATTTAATTCTAGCCAATGTTTTTTTTGTTTAGGGATTATAGTAATCCAATATAGAACGGGGAATCCCTATAAACCAACCAGGATTCAATGGAATGATAGAGAGATTTTGAACACTGCTCTGTGAAAATCTGAGGCCTGTGGTGGTGGAAAGATCAAGGAGATTCCGGACTTGTGGATGATCTTGCGCACAACTCAGATTTAGATTCCGATGGACTCATGTGATATGATATATATGTATATATATATAACATATATATATATATAACATATATATATTATAGATATGTATATACATATATAACATATATATATATATGTCAGTCATATGGAGATGGACATAGATGGACATAGATGGATATATGTTATATGATGTCATCTGGCACCATGATCTCCAGATGGTGGATTTGCCAGGTCGGGGCCGTGTAGCATCGTGGATGGATGCATTCAAAGTCCCAACTATCCATCCAACTACAGTGAGATGCTCAGAGAGGTTGGTGTCTGCTGTCAGAGTTGAACCCTCGCTTGAGAACAAAACATGTGGGGACAGACGACATAGCATAAAATGGGGGTATCCCTAAATCAGCCATTCAAAAGATTTTCTAAATAGAGGATGTTCCATGATGAAAACCAACCAGCTATTGGGGATCCCGCATTCATGGAAACCCCAATTTTCCACATCAAAATGTGTTTTGTTCATTTGATGCACTCCAAAATGCGCAGCGCTCTCCCAATCTGCATCAACGATGAGGCGACAACCAACGGTGCACCATTCTGGTGAACGACGCATTGGCAAGGCCCATCGAGGTGGGACGCTGAGACGACCGGGGACGAAGCGGAGGGGAGAACAACAACGTTCGTAACGTTCGGGCAGGTAAACCCAATGAGAAAACTGCCCCTCTGGTAACATTCCGGAAAATGGATGAAAATGGCCTGGTTGGGTTTTCCTTCAGTTAGATTACCAGGCTAATCGGTCGATCTAAGGATGTCTAAGCACTATCAAGAAGGCGAAATGGTAGAAGGTCAAGTTTGTCGTTATTGGATTCACATTATGCATGGCTGATGCACGCGAGCTTGCATACAAACTTGAAATATACTGCAGTTGCAGAGTAATGACACGGTCAGGACGCAAACGCCTCTTCCAGTTCTCCCTTTTCCAGTTCTCCAAGTTTTCCATACCTAGGATGATCTGGCTCACTTGACTCATATTTGATTCCTATATATGTTGTATTATTTTGTGGGTTCAACCACTGGACAATTTTTTCTTGGCCAATTTCGGATCCTTCGAAAGACCAGGTTGTGTCCTTCGCGACGGAGTATGGCTATGACAAATTGTTCATCAACGGCAGACCCTTCAGCTGCTCGGACGAGATCGGAGAACGTGATGTCAACGATAGGAAGATCATGCAAACCTGTGGAAACTCATGTGGCAATCCCAATGATATGTTATACGATGTTATACGGATTATATGGAATAATTACGGGACAATAATGGATTAAGTATGACCATCCCCAACTGAGGTTCGTGGCATTGGTACATGGGTATACTCCTGTTTGGAATGATGTGAAATGGCCCCGAGTCATAGATGGTGAATGGTTTATGGCATTGGGGTTACCACATTAATTATTAGATATGTTATTTGTTGGGGGGATGTTTTACTGTTCACCATACTCAGAATTCATCAACTTTCACCTTCGATAGCCAACCCCGAAACCTTCTAATGTCAGAATTTTAGCCATTTCCCAGTCAATAAACCTCAACAGACACCCTATCATCTATCCTGGTATTCTCGCAAGGAATCAGTTTAGACCCCATTTTCAAGAATTTTCCAGCGCCGGCAGGCCGCATGTTGCATTATGAAAAGCTCAGGTGGGCGAAAAAAACCTCTGAAGGTCTTGCCTCACTACTCCATCTCTTGGGAGTCGGACGAAGACACCACGGACAAAGGCGGCACGAGCTGGGTGGCCGTCATGATTCGTGGCCACATGTTGGATAAAACATGAGCCACGGTTTGTTCATGTTCGATGGATACATCCAGTTATTTCATTTTTGGGGTCTACCCTCTGGTAAACTAACATAACTATGGAAAATCACCATGTTTCATGGGAAAATCCACTATAAATGGTGATTTTCCATAGTTATGTTAAATTACTAGAGGGTATGGTTTATTGAACTTGTATGAACCAATTGTTGATTTCCTGAGGTTCACATCCAAGTGCCCTGTTGTTGGCCCGTTTCGTCATGTTTCGTCGTTTCGTCCAGTCTTAAAACAGGAAGATACATGAAACAATATGAAACTATCCCATAGGATCCATGTGTGCTATATATGGTAACATTTACCATCAATATACCCCAAGTGTTAGCATATATATGCATATATACCATACATGGATCCTATGGGTATAGAGGAAACAAACACTGTCTTTGTCATTTGATCTCAGTGTGCATTGTTTTGATATTGTTTTCAGCTTAACTGTAGATGAGTTTAATGGCTCTGACTTCTTGAATTACATGGACCGGACGGACGTGCTAATCGACTGCTACGTGTGCATCTTATAATCATCGTATATGATATACTACAATTAATTGATGATAATAGATGTTTGTATCTATGAATATGATATATATATATATAAACATTATAAACACCATTTATTTATATAATTATACAATATATAATATGCATAAATACTATGACAATCTATGACATAGATATATAGCTCTACGATGTTGATTTCTGACCATTCTTTCACAGATTCGCTTTTAACATGCCTTCACTCAATGACCTGTTGGCACTTGGTGGCCGTCAGGCTGGAAACTCTGTCCAGGCCAACATTTTCGAGGCTCCAGCGCTCCAGCGCTCAGATCTAGTAAACCCTGCCATAAACCATCCCCAAATCTCATTTCATGATGAGTTTACACCCCAATATTGTTGAGCAATTCTGGTTGGTGGTTTGGAACATGTTTTATTTTTCCATATATTGGGAAATTTGGGAATGATCATCCCAACTGACTAATATTTTTCAGAGGGGTTGAAACCACCAACCAGTCATTTTTCTGGGTTGCATCAACCATCTCCAAACGCTAGGTTTGGGTTTACAACTATCATGGTCATTGAGTGAGTAAAACGAATGATTCTGTTCATGATTGGATGTGGGGCCCATAGAACAAACCCAAATAGGATTTGCTGGAGACCAATTCAACGATGCAAGACTACAACAAACTTGTCAAAGACCAGTAAACTCGCATCCGTTGTGGCAGTGTCGCAAGATTCGGTGTTCCCTTCATGCTGTCTCATGTTTGAACACATCCCGCCATTTTGGATAGCCATCATTCAAATCATCCTGCTGTTTCGCAGGGTTGCTTCAATATAGGTGAATCAAAGCCGCAAGAAGGTCAATGTGGTCATTTTACCTCTTTCTGTGTATCTACCCAATTTTCCCCGTGTATCTGGCCCTGATTTGGAGTCAAGTCCGTCTCAAACGCAAAAAATAATATATATATATATATATTATTGAATATTATTATTATAATATATATATATATGTATATCGATCAGCAACAAGGCAGAAAGACATGAATCCCCGAGAGATTCTTCTTCAAGAGATACCAACAGCAAGTATGACCAGCACATGGCCGTGGCTGAAAGCAAGCACTTTTCAGGGCTTGTTGCTGCCCTATTTGGGGTATGGCAAACCAACATGACCAATAATTATTTGTCCTTAAGCGTATTTGTCTGAAAATTGCATACCCCAAAAGCCATGTGTAATCATTGTCCCAAGTAAAATGCCTAAAACTTGCTGGTAACTCCCCAATTCTAAAACAATTATCACATATTCATGGTGGTATTCCAATAATCATATCCCCATAATCTCCTCATCCCCATCATATCCTCATGGCAATCTCTATCTTGCGGACAGGTCCAGGGATGTTTTCGCCTCCTGAGGGCCCCTGCACCCTGGATGCGGAGGGGTGTGTGCTGAGCCCGAGCCCTGGCAGCACGGCTATGGAGGTTTCATGAGGTTTCTTCCATTCATAGGGGCAGCTCCAGTTATCATCCAGTCATGGATGACCATGACTGGATGTATCGAAAGAAACCATGGTGACAACTGGGCAATTTCAGTTCTAGGTAGGTGGATGGATGGATGGGTGGATGGATGGATGGATGCATGGATGGACAGATCGATAGATAGATGGATAGATGGATAGATCGATAGATCGATGGATGGATCGATCGATAGATCGATAGATTGATAGAGCGATAGATCGATAGATATATTATTGTAGATACATAGATAAAAAAATAAATAAAGAAAGAAAGACAGAAATACAGAAATACAGAAAGAAATTTAGATAGATAGATAGGTAGATAGATAGAAAGATACAGAGAGAGAGAGAGAAAGAGAGAGAGGGAGAGATAGAGACAGAGATAGATACATAGATAGGTAGATAGATCGATAGATGGATGGATAGATAGATAGAGAGAGAGAGAGATAGAGAGAGAGAGATAGAGAGATAGAAAGATAGAGAGATAGATAGATAGATCGATCGATAGATAGATAGACAGACAGACAGACAGATAGATAGATAGGTAGAGATAGATAGATAGATCGATCGATCGATAGATATATAGATAGTAGATAGGTAGATAGGGAGATAGGTAGATAGGTAGGTAGGTAGATAGGTAGAGCGGTAGACAGATAGATAGGTAGATAGGTAGATAGGTAGATAGGTAGATAGGTAGATAGGTAGATAGGTAGATAGGTAGATAGGTAGATAGATAGATAGGTAGATAGGTAGATAGATAGGTAGATAGGTAGATAGGTAGATAGGTAGATAGGTAGATAGGTAGATAGGTAGATAGGTAGATAGGTAGAGCGGTAGGTAGGTAGATAGGTAGATAGGTAGATAGGTAGATAGGTAGATAGGTAGATAGGTAGATAGGTAGACAGGTAGATAGGTAGATAGATAGATAGATAGATTGATAGATAGATAGATAGATAGCGGGAGGGATAGAGAGATAGAGAGGTAGAGAGATAGAGAGATAGAGAGATAGAAAGATAGAAAGATAGAACGGTAGAAAGATAATAATTACTGATGGATGGTTGGATGGCTTGGTGAATGGATGGACACAGATATGCATGGGCATGGGTCGAAATTGAGTGCCCCTCAAAGTGGATTATGTTTTCGGAGAATGACACAACTCTGTGTATTTCGGGGTCTTTAACTTTGACCCATGTAAGGGAATATCCCTACAAAATATGGCCTTATATGGTACAGTACCTCCACTTTAGGATCCTGAAATTCCCAGTGACATATATCCATATTTATCTGATTTTTGTGTTGTGGAACTTGCTTGACTTATGTAGGACCCATTCAGCTCTGCAACTATCAGAGCTGCTTGGATTCTAGGATTTTCCTGGAGTCGTAGTACTATCTGAAACATTTCTTTGGAATCAGAAGCTGCTCACTGTGAAGATCCTGCATGTTCAGGGGATGTTTACCAGAGGCAGTTCTTCTGTGTCACCAGGTGTATCTCCTGTTTGAAGTGGATGCTCACCATGCTAGTGTGGCAAACCCAAGCATAGACCCAATTTAAGTGTATGTTTTATCAAGAGGTTAACATGTGGAATGGCGAATCATGTGTTTTTTAGATTTCCACATCACATTCAGATTGTGTAACTAACACTGGTTGGTGGTTTCAAACATGTTTTATTTTCCATCATAGTGTAGGGATGTCATCCCAACCCCATACTCCATCATTTTTCAAGATGGTTATTTTTAACCACCAACCAGAACACTCTGATCCCAGGAACTATCCAGACAATTATGGTCCAAACCAAGATTGCGCCATCCAAGCCCTTTGACTTGGCGCTGACAGGGAGCGGGGGCCACATTTGACGAAATGTGGTAATAGTCATTGGCAAAATGGTCCCCCAACAAAAATGGTTGTATCTAAAAAAACAAAGATCACAGAAATTCGATGAAACCCATTGACCCTTGGGTTGCTGTAAAATGGCCAACTTTCTTGGGGAACTGAACTATAGGGGGCTCCATGGTTCCGCTATCCCGTCTTAGGGGATCCGTTGTGTGTGTGTGTCCCCAGGTCTTCAACCCGGAGAACCGGAGTATCACGGTGGAGAAATTTTCCACCGAGATGCTTTACGACGTACCTGGGCGGTGTTTTCCAATGGTTACAGCTCGGGGGTTTTCTGAACTGTGCATCCAAAGAATCTATTGCAAAAATTGGAAACACTGGTTTTCACAATCCATCCCAAGTTTTTTCCATTGCAATTTGTGCACAATTTTTCTCTATTGCAAAACGTTTTTTTTTTTTCAGGAAACACGCATTGCTGCTGGGAGTGAAGACCAAATTTTGTGATGCACCGACAGACATACCTCAGAGTTGGAGGGGGTCAGTAGCAAACTGCATTGATTTGGTAGTGTCATATCGCCGCAGAATCGGAGGTTTTTTTCACTAAACCATGTGAACAACCAACACGTCGAGACGGCAATCAGGTGATGTGGGTGAATGGCCGCATGTATGCTGGTGCCTTATTTGCAGCCCATGAAGGATCATCGTGACCGTCAAAGTCGTTTATGATAAATATAATGTATGATATATGATATATGATATATGATATATGATATATGATATATGATATATGATATGATACATGATATGACAAATATAAAAAATATATAATATATTATAATCTAATAATATATAATATAACATAATATAATAAATATAATATTATATTTCAATGTAATATTAAATAATAAATATAATATATTTTTTTAATATATTATAATATATTATAATATATTATAATATAATATAATATAATATCATATAATATAATATAATATAATGTAATAATTATAATACAATATAATACAATATAATATAATACAATTTAATATATGATATATATGATATATCATATATTTAATATAATACAATACAATATAATATAGCATAATATAAATATATAATATCTATATGTATATCTATATATATATATTCTATATAAAATCTAAGTATATATTATATACATATCATATTAAAGATAAAAATATTATTATTATTTTATTATTATTTTTTATTATTATTATCATTATTATATATATATACAATATTATATATAAATATATTTACAATATTTTATATACGCACTTATATAAGCTACTTATACAAACTACTTATACAAACTAAGTACATAATCTGATCCTCGCAGCATATTTTTTGCGCCCAGGAAAGGCCAGCCCACATGGATTGGTCCCCCGAGGCCGTCGTCCGTCGTCATCCCATGGGGAATCCACATGTTTTTGGGGACCATCCAATGTTTTTTTTTTATATTAAGGTGATGGGATTAATATGGATTAATCATTAGTAAGTCTGAATATTTTTGAGTGTCAGACTATGTCAGACTTGTCGACTTTCAATTTATTTTTTCTTTTTGGGGCGTTGCTACATTATTCTATACTGAATCATGAAGTGTCAAACCCCAAAGATGTAAAACCTGCTGTTGACACTCACAGCTTCGGCATCACTGCCCTGCCCGGCCCTCGGCAGAAGCTATTCAATGGAGCACTGATGAGGAGAGCCGTGTGTCAATCTATCCGGTGAACGGAGGAAGCCCTGGGCCCTAGCTACGAATTGAGCTTCCCAACCACATGATAGTTACCCTCTGGTAAACTAACATAGCTATTGAAAATGGCCATTTATAGTGGATTTACCCATTGAAAATTGTGATTTTCCATAGTTATGTTAGTTTACCAGAGGGTATTGGTTGAACCGTGTTGAAGCAGATGGAGGGTATGGTTGATTTTGTCAGTTGCAGGAAGAATATACAGTAGATTATGGGATAAAAATAGACCAACTTATAACTGGGGGTGGCACAACCTCGTAGCATTCCTTTGAAGTCAATCAATCAATCACACGTTTATTCTAGCTAGCACTGTGGTGACAGCTCCCTACCAACCCAGGGGTAAACTGAATCATTGGATTGGACTGTCGGGCATGGAAGTCCACTGGGATTGTCCTACAACATCCTGGAAAAAAGGAAAACATTTCGATGTTTATCTAAAAAAAATATCTATTTCCAAATTAATGTTCTAATTTATGGTATGGAACACCTAAATTTATATATAATATCTTTATCTATTTGGGTGTTCCAGTTGTTCTCAGCTGCCTACAACCCACAAGATGCGGAGTCTCCCCACCACCATTCTCTCATGGGATTTCCGGTATTTGGGTAGATCGCCCATGGCAGACATGGCACATTTCTAAGGAGCGCCAACACCAGAGGCTAAACCATAGAGTGATATTCCCTTCCATATGTCATAGGCCTTCTTTTAAACCACACCACTACTCTATCCAGAGTCCAATTCATCTCCCTCCTACTTAGATGATGCCATGTACATCAACTTTGGGTACCTGAGTCCCTGAACTGAAGAAAGAACATTGATGAAGTCCACCGAAAAATGCCTGAAACGTCTCCGTTTGGCCCGCAGGATACCCAGGACAGTGGTTGGAAGCTTTGTCCTGGTCCTGTTGGACAGCAAGTGGAAAACATTGGTGGCATCGATGAGGAAGAAGGCATCGACAAGAACCCTCAAATGGATGGGACTGTTTTTGTGATCATTTTTTGAAAAGATTATTCAACTGTTCTGATCATTCATTCAGTCACTTCCAGGTTATTACTTTACCATGATTCAGTGACATTGCTCAATCATTTCCAGGTTTCCAACTGTTCTGATCATTTCTTTTGGGGTTGGGTTTTTGAAGGGTCATTTTAGTATGCTATAAAACTATCGGGATTCGTTCAACCAAAATACAATGCACCCAGCTTTATTGGCACCATACAGGGCCATGATTGGTATGGGCATGATCCAGGATGCAGGCAGGTTGAGCACGTTGAGACTGCCAGGAGGGCCATGGATTGATACCCAATCCGGTTGTGGCAATTTTTCTTGGCAAGAGAATGATCAACCAACACATTTCGGGGCACCTTGTTTTCAATGACACCCGCATCTTGTCAGCGGGGGAGAGAGAGCTGTGTCTGTGTGTGACCACACACTTGATCCTGCACAGGCAAGGAAGAAGATGAGTATGGATATCAAGGAGTCAACTGGCAAGCACGGTCGCAAAATCGGGGTCTGGACTTGGATTGCCAGATTGGTTAAGCCTTAGATAAGCTGATTTCAGCCTGGTAAACAAGTAATTTTTAGACATTCTTCTGTAGGCTGTCGTCGTTCTATCTGGATAGATCCATCTAAATTGTGAAAGATGACAATGCTGAGTTGTTGAAGATGTTGACGAGAGGCACAAAAGAAGCCAACTGGCAATGAGGTTGGAGCGGTAGGGCTCGTATCTTGTTTGTGTTGTGGAGTTGTTGAGTCTACCATGGTCTGGTTGGTGGTTTCAAACATGACTTTTATTTTCCATTTCATATATGGGATGTCATCCCAACCCCATTGACGAACTCCATCATTTTTCAGAGGGGTGGCTCAACCACCAAGCAGTGGTCTATCCAAATGACAATTCAATATCACTGGACCTTTCAGGTGCCAATCATGCTCGATGAGTTGAGGACTAAAGTGGGACTAAAGTTGTCTGATGTTCCCGGAGCTGCTCCGACATGCTTGGTGTTTTGATCTAATATCCTCTAGAACTCTGATATTGGGAATATTGGGATAACATGATATGTGGATATATTGGATATATACCATGATATATACCATGATATACCATGTGTAGGTGTGCAGTTGCATCTTGAGTAAGATGAAGGAAACTTGATGAGGTACCGATCTCAAAGCCAATCCCTCTGGCCGAGGCCTCGCGCACCGCGGCACCGTTGGCACCGTTGCTTGGCGCACAGCTTGGCGCAGTTCAGCCATGATAAATAGCTTGAGTTCGATTGGGTACTATAGGGACCTATATGGGTATGGATCAATACCTATTAATACCATTTTTAGGGGAATGAACATCTATTTACCAGCTATTTTGATGTTCACCAGGGGTACAAGGTTTTGACACACTGCCATATAGTGAACTTCTACTAGTAAATTTACTGGGGATTTTGATAACCCATAATAGGGAAACCGATTTCAACCAAGTAGTATAATGAGATGGGACAGTGGAGTTTCCGATGGTTCCCATTAAAAACCGCTAGTTGTTATACTGCATCGATGGAGCTGGGAAGATCTCATATCTTTGGTCGACACGACAGGAAGAAGTAGAAACTAATATGTTTGAATCTTTTGGCTTGATGTTGAACATGGACCTACTACAAATCTTCATCCACCCAACAAATGGTTTTGTTACCGTGGAAAGTTTGTTAAATTTGGGTATAGATCTTCACAATAGACGGTGATTTAACCAACATGTTATTCGGAATGGATGGTGCTGAACCAAAGAAACAAGTCAGGTAATTTTGGGCGTTGAAGCAGCATACTTTATTCTGAAGCCTAATTAAAAAAACTAAGGATCTAAGGAACTTTAAGGTTTAACCCTTTGGTCGTCCACAGTGGGTGCTATAAAATGGGAATCCTCTGTTCACATCCCCAGATAGTAGATTCGAATAGTTACCAAATGAACATCAATTGTTGGAACCAGAAACTAGACTTAGATCAGCATTCAAAAACTATAGTTGATCCCATAGTAATCTATAGTAATCTATAGTTACCCCCATTATCTATCCCATACTATCCCATACTATCTTTACGGATCTGAAGTGAACTGAATCGTAATGAAAAAGGCACGGCTTCCGCCGCCGGCAACGTGCTGGTTTTCCCTTGGCCACTTTGAGGCGATCAACGCCGGAAGCCTCAGGCTGGCGCTTAGCGGCCGCGGTCAGTGGGGGCAACAAGAGATGCTTGGAATGTCCCGAAGATCAGCACTTCAACCCCCCAAAAAAATATATAGCAATTAATCAATCACACAGTAGATTATGGGATTTATCCTCCCAAACAAATATATAGCAATCAATTTATAACTGGGATTATACATAGATATAGATGCTTGGAATAATAGTAATAGACCAATCACACATTTATGGGATTTATAGACCAACTTATAACTGGGGGGTCACAACCTCGTAGCATTCCTTTGAAGTCAATCAATCAATCACACGTTTATTTTAGCTAGCACTGTGGTGACAGCTCCCTACCAACCCAGGGGTAAACTGAATCATTGGATTGGACTGTCGGGTATGGAAGTCCACTGGTATTGTCCTACAACGTCCTGGAAAAAGGAAAAACAGTTCGATGTTTATCTACTGGTTGGTGGTTTGGAAAATGTTTTATTTTTCCATACATGGGGAATTTTCTCCCCAACTGACTTTCATATTTTTCAGAGGGGTTGAAACCACCAACCAGCAATGTCTGGTGACTTGGGATGTCCAAGTAATCCAATACCTCCTTTCAATCAAAGCCCCCTTGTATTGGACCCCAGCAACGTTTTTTTTCTAACTGGCAATGAAAAATAGATGGGAAATGATGGGAAACCTTGTCCAAAGGAGCCCAAACCATTGCATTGCAACCACATTTTCCGCTTGGTGGCACATGCCACTGAAAGAAACCCTTGCTAATGACTCCTGGAAAATATCTCTAATGGGGAAAATATCTTATTATTACCCATGTATAGCTGGATTAGAACCCAGGTTCCAAGTGAGGGGAGATGAGGGGAGGCTTACACTTTTCAAACAGGCAAGGGATTTTATTTGGGATATGTTGGGATGTGTGTATATATATATACTGTATATATATATTTCCCCCATTAGACAGATCTTCAATATATATCAATATATGAAATCGATGATATTTTCCCCATACATTAGGTTTACACTTTGTAGGATGTTTTCCTCAACAGATCTGCCCTGGCTGCCAGGCTCCCAGTTGGGTCTGGAGGACGGCCGACTGAGCCTTGTAGGCTGATTCTGGAGGTTTTTTTTCCTTCTGGTTATGGGTCAGAAGCCTGGTAGCCAACGATACCTTCAAAAAATCGCTGGGAATTATGATGAAAAAAATGGTTGTTTAATGTTGTTTAATGTTGGGAATATTCCCCCCAGTCATAATAAAATCATGATAGTGAATGATAATTAATGTCATAGTAGGTTTTGACCCATCCCCAAGTTGGGATGTTTTTTGTTTTTTTTCCATGGACATATCCTTCAGTTGAAAAGAAGAAACCCTTGGAACCTCCAAGATTCATCGGCAAGTCTGTCCCCTGCGCAGGAGGAGCAAACAACCAGTGGCAACTTCATCTTCAAGGCGGCTCTCGCTGCGGCTGCCCTCTGTCTGGGTGGAGCAGGGGCCTCAGTCACCGCGTCGTCTGGATGTGATCCTTTTTCGGGTCAAGTGATTGACTCGTTGAACAGCACAGATTTGTATAGATTGATACAGATTGATCGAAAGTCACAGATTTTGATCTAACATGTTCTGTTTTTGATCGGCAAATTGTCCAGCTAGTTTTCACCCGCAAATCTTATGGCCGGTTGCTGGTTTCAAAGCGTTTTTTCCTCTGTCATGATGATTCCACTTGGCTATCATATAACAAACGTGAATATCCTATATATAGTTGATATTATGATACATATATGTATTATTTTTTGGAAACATATCAACTCTATATTATATATATATGCTTATACATGTGTGGGTTGTTGAAACCTGCCGAACCGACGCAATTGGGGTTGGTGCCATTGCCATGCGTGGCCCAGGTCTTGTGTCTGCGCTTCCGGCGCCGGAGCGCTGGACGTGGCTCGACGGCGGAGACACGGATGAGACCCTGATTTATGGTGTGTTTAAGCAACAAATCGACTTGAAATGGGGATGTAATGTGATTAGTATGGGATTTAATGAGGTACATCATCAACATTATCAATTTGATATGAGTTTGAGTGGTTGTTAGGGAAATATAATGGGTTTAGATGAGGGATCGACCCTGCAAATGGCCATCAAACAATAGGAATCATGATGATATTCAATTGGAATTTAGGGGCAAACTGTTTTCAGACAAACCCACATGGCACCCTGAAGATCCCCGAAGTATATCCAAACAAATGGGGTTCCACAAAAACATGTAGAAAAAAATCCAGATAGAAGCTGCATTCCTGTCAACATAGGATTTGAAAGCGGAATTTGTCGATAATTCCAAGATATGATCTACCTATAGCCTAATTTGTGATATCCTTCTTAGAACTCCATGATTGAACAAATTATAATACTCTCATTGAGTGCTAATATATACCCTCACCACTGGGGAAGGTCCCCATCTCGCCACCACCTGTCGCTGAGGTGAAGAATACGGCACCCGCTACGGCCGGAGCTACGTCATGGACAACTTGTGACGGCGGTGCATGACTCGATCGCTTTCCGCAACGCGGCAGATGCGCAAAGTGCACCTGGCGCGAAGAATCTGTAGATCTGTAGATAGCTGTGGCTGAAAACTGCTGCGTGGGGCTGCAGGTCGAAACCATGTGAAAACACACTGAAGCGAGAAATTGATTCCAGGAAAATCTGAAGGTATAGTAAATTGATGTAAACTGTTATAATTATTCATTTTGCGGTTCAGGAATACTGAACCAGGGTTTTGACCCCTGCCGATATGGCCCTGATGCGTCCTGGTGAAAGCCAAAAGGATGTCATAGGTGGATATGCGTCACAATCTGTCATGGTATTTTTAAATTTCACTTCCATAGTAGAACAAACCAAGGGGTTGTTTCTCATTATAATCCTTGGCTCACATTCCCCCAAGAGTTTATACTGAAGATGAATAGTGCATTTGGGTCGGTGCTTGTCACTATAGTTCAACAACGAAAAGCCTAGTGATCCAAGTACCCTCTGG